AACTCATTTTTAAAAATTCCAGAATGAGTGTGTCTAATAACTAGTGGGAATTTCTGTGAGATTGTGGGCAATAAAATAGGAGAAGATATAGCACAAATGCATGAATTGAAAAGAAAAGGTTCAAAAACAAATAGACTGTGCCCTTGAGCTGAGGAATCTGAAAGGATACAATACACTGCATCATCATACATAGTACAATGTAAACCACAATAAGAAGATTTAAAATTTGAAAATAATAGAATTCACAATCATAATAAGAAGCTTAATTACATCTCTCCAAATCATTGATAGAGTGAACTAATAACTCAATATAAGATATAAAAAATATGAACAACCTAATTTGTAAAAGGTTTATATGTGGAATATTGAATTTATCAAGAAAATACTTCATGATATTTTCAAATTCACACTGAAAATTTGTATCAAAAGTCAGAAATCTTTGCTATAACTCATTAATTTTCATCTGCCTACTCAATACTTCACTGGAATTTTTGCACAGATTTTATGCTCTCTTCTCTGTCTAGTTTACAGTAATTAGTCACATCCTGTCAGGTGCTCAAGTCAAAAGCCATGTCTCATTTCTGATTCAAATCATTTTCTCACATTCCACTCCATTAAAATTATATGTTGTGTCTGACTTCAAATAAATGCTAATTCCTGACATTTCTTACTATTTCCCATATTTATAGCCCATCATAACATTTAAAATAAGGGAATTATCTTATTTTCACTCTTTGCCAATGAAGTATTCTTAATGAAGCACCTAGTATTAGTCTGTTATCTGGAAACCTCATGCTCTAAGCTTCCTTAGAGTGACACAGTGATCTACAAACTCATGCCTCACCCCTTATTCTGCATCTGCTCTTGTTCTTAGATGTCTTGTTGCTCACATTGACTGCTGTGATGATCCTAGAACCCAGTGACCACACTCCTAGCTCATAGTCTGAGCACAACTCTCCACTTATTTGAAACACTCACACTTGATAAATTCACATGGTTAATTCTCACACTTCTTCTAAGTCTTCTTCCCAGATTATATATACTTCATGTTAAATCTCTCTCCCTCTCTCTCTCTCTCTCTCTCTCTCTTCCTTTCCTGGTTTACTGTTAACAGTAGCACTTATCTTAATATAGTATATTACAACTTGTTACATATTATCTACTTAAATATAAGTTCTAGAAAGTCTCCATTGTATTCAATATTGCACCCCAACATCTGCAACATTGCCCAGTATATTTTAGGTGCTCTCTCTGGATATTTGCTGAGTTAACTAATGGTTTTGTACTACTTGTCCAATTTTTACCAATTCTGCAAACAGCCCCCATGAATCAAATTTGCCTTTTTAAGCATTCCAATCTATCATCTATCCATAATGTTGCCATGAATGTGATGATAAACTCAGGAAGGACTTCCTCACTTTTGTCAGAGCATGTGGCAGCATAGAAAGTGAGCAGTGTATTTGTAGTTTAAAAGAATGTTTTTAGATACATAGGCATAGTTGTTTCAGCAATTGTTTGTTTTTTGTTTTTGTTTTTGTTTTTGTTTTTTTGGCATGACCTCCTCTCAACAATACCCAATTTTGTATGATTAGTTAGCAGCACAAACTGTATTTAAAATATATATGAATTGGAGAATTGACATAGGAATCTAGGAGCTGCATTCCACAGATATGAACACAGAAGTTAAATGGAATTGTTGCTAGTGAAGGACATTTCACCTGTTATAAATAATCAAGAATTTTGGCTCTCCAGCTGCCTGTCCAGGACCACCCAGTGGGTGTGTGACCTCCCAGACTGCACACCACCAGATCCAGTAAGGACCCAAGGACCCCAGACGAGGTCTCTCCAGCTGCCTGCCCGGAACCACCCGGCGGGTGTGTGACCTCCCAGACTGTGCGACACCAGATTCAGTAAGGACCCAAGGACCCCAGAGGTCTCTCCACCTGCCGGCCTGGGACCACCCGGCGGATGGGTGACCTCCCGGACTGCGCAGCACCACATCCAGTAAGGAAGGTAGCCACACGGGTGCCCTTGAAACACCCCCATTACCTGCTCCCCCGGTTCTCTAACCTCCTGATTGGGCCAATCTTTGGACCAACTCTGCAGAGGCATAGGTTCTCATGAAGGGTAGTTTTCTGAGCTTCCAACTTTGAAAATCTTTAAAGAAAGTGCAGGAGAAACCTGTAATAGAACTGAGTGGAGTTCAACCATGCAGGTTGGGAAACTCAAGTTAGGCCTTGTGGACTGAGGTCAGTCTCAGTCATGGGGACCTGCCATTGGCTAACCGAGACCAGGGGATTCGGTTCTGCATATGGCTGTACATGTGGTATAATATGACAACAGAGACATAGTCTGAAGGAGGCCCTTCAAATTTTTTTTTTCTTTTCCTCATTCCACCCTAAAATTTATTTCTTTTTTCTGTTCTCTCTCTCTACCTCAGTCTCTTGCTCCACCATATTATCCCTCATCTCCCTTTTTATTCCTGCTCCTGCCCTAACTCAGACTTCTTCTTTTATTATTTTTCCTTTGAGGGGGGTTGTTTTGTTTTGTTTTTTGTTTTTTTCTTTTTTCTTTCTTTATTTTCTTTTCTCCAGTCATTTTACCTCACTCATGGCTCCATAGCTTCAAGGGAAGGCAAGTGCCTGTTACTGTTAAGGGGATATATTCTTGTCCTTATTCTTGCACTCTGTCTATCCCCTCTGAAGTTAATAGCTTTGTAAAGATAGTAAGGTCATTCTACATCCATTTGCCATAGTTGATTAGGAAGCAAACCTCGAGGATTCATACCATAATGTGGAACAGAAGAAAATTGAGGACAAGTGGAGCACTGTTTAACAATTTGTCGGGCAGCTTCTCGAGGAATCTGAAATTGATATCTAAGAGTATGACTACTTTGGTGATGGAGTTGATGAGATTGACAAGCTAAATCAATTTTAGAAAGGGCAATAAATTTTGTGGAAACATCAGCAAGATGATTTCCCAAAGACAATGGACCGGGTAAAACAGTATGTGCTCGAATATGTCCAATAAAACAAGGAAGAGAACGAGCATGAATATAATTTTGTACTTGAATAAAAAGTTATTGAATCTCTAAATTACTGGTATTAATACAGGCCACAGTTTCTAAAGAAGGAAGGGCTTTAGCCAAATACTGACTATCAGTATATAGATTAAAAGAAACATGGGCAAATTCCTGAAAAACAAAAAGAATGGCACGCAACTCAACTACTTGTGCCGAAGTGGCAGGTGTTGAAAAAACCTTTTCATGACCATTAACAACATAAACAGCTTTTCCATTAGAGGATCCATCAGTGAAAATAACAATGGCATCAGGTATAGGCTTAAATGAAATAATTTTTGGAAAAATGAAGGATTGAAGATTTGCAAATTGTAACAATTTATTAGGTGGATAATGAAATTTAATTTGGCCTGAAAAATATGCAAATGCAATAGCCCAGGAATCACAATTCTGAAACAGCCAATCTAATTGTTTTCCTGTAAATGGAATTACAATAATGGAAGGTTCTAAACCAAAATATTTCTGAGCATTACATCGGATTGATTGAACAAGTTGGGCAACAGCTTCATAATAAGGTTGTAAATTTTTGGCCGGTGAAACAAATAAATGTAACCACAATAAAGGTCCATTTTGCCACAAAACAGCTGTAGGGGAATGTTTGGTTAGAAAAATAAAAGCTTCTAAGGGTTTTTGATAATTAAAATAAAATATCTGTTGATTAGAAATGGCTATTTCCACCTTTTGAAGAGCCAATAGTCCTTCATATGTGAGGGTCCTGAGGGAGGAAGGATCAGGATCCCCTTGCAAGATATCAAATAAAGGTTTTAATTCTCCGGTAGTTAATTTTAAATAGGGATGTATCCAATTTATATCTCCCAATAATTTTTGAAAATCATTCAAAGTTTTCAAATTATCTTTTCGAATCTGTAACTTTTGGGTAAATATTTTTCGAGGATATAGCTGATATCCCAAATATGAAAAAGGAGACTCCTGTTGAATTTTTTCAGGAGCAATAACTAACCCATAATCATTTAAAACCTTTTGTAAATAAACAAATACAGTAAGCAATAATGATTCATCTTCATTTGCTAAGAGAATGTCATCCATATAATGTATCATATAAACAGAAGGATACCTTTGTCTAATACA